TGCTCCACCACTGAGCCCCAGCCCCAGCCCTACTTCCCTGCTTTTATTAGAAGCTCAGCCCCACCTCAGGACCTTTGCACCTGCCATTCCCTCTGCCTTCAATTCTCTGTCTCCAGATATCCTCATGGATACCTTCAAGTTCTCTCACTGGGCTGCCATCTCATGTAGAGGCTCAGTTAGTGAAGGATCCACTTCCTTCAGATCTTAGCTCAATGTGAGCAACTATCACGACTACTTCTCCTCCTCCGCTGTCTCTTCCTCCTCCTCCCTCTTCCTCCTCTTCATCTTCTTCTTGCCATAGGATCTCACTGGCTGTGCTGCCCAGGCCAGTCTTGAGCTCTTGGGCCCAAGTGATCCTTCTGCCTCAGCTTCCGGCCAGCTGGGCCTATGGTGCCGGTCACCACGTCCTGGCGACAGGAACTCCTGAAAGATGCTGCCTTAGTCCACCATCAAGTCCAGCCCTGTGCAGGAAGGGGTTAAACTCAGGGGGCTTGGGAGCCCTAACCCTGCACAAAGAAAGGTCTGTCCACACACAGCCCCTTGCCCTGCCGCTGGAAAGTAACCGGTGACACGGTGAGACCCAGGTTTGGTCTTGTCTTCATGTCCTGGGACACGACTCTTGAAATCCTGGACTTTCCGAAGCTGTGACCGCCCTTCTGTGCGCTGCGGTGTTGAGTGGCCCCGGCAGCCCCTGGTTAGCCTTAGGAGGGGGGCTGGCTGCCAGGAAAGACCCAGGCTGGGGACACCTCCAGTCGGCACCTGGGGTCCCCCCGCATCAGAACCCGCAGACGGAGGGCTCCCCAGAGGGCGGGGTCTGGCTCCTGGGCCCAGCGGCGGGGGTGGAGATCCCCCTCCCATTTGTGTCTCTGCATCTTCTCTTCGCAGTCTCCTCCAGCGTCCGCCGGTACTGTGAACGGGAGCTGCTGGAGTAAGCTGACCAAAGTGGGGGGGCGTGTGAACCCCGATTTATAACCAGGGCTCAGAAGCCCAGGGACAACCAGCTGAGGATGGCAATGGGCCCCTGAGCAGGGGCCATCGGGGACCGAGACTCAGTCTGGGGGTTCAGATGTGGTCGAGAGCACCTGCGGGTACGGAGTGCACCCCGACACCCGGCGATGACCCCCCTCGATGTCCACCGCGGCGGCATTGGGCGGGGACCCCGGACCTGTCGGCAGGGGTCTGCGGCAGCGAGGCGTGTGCTGCAGGAGGCTGAGGCAGGAGGATGGCGGAGACCGGAGTTGGAAGGGACCTGGGCAACACAGCAAGACCCAGCTCGGAAAACAAAACAAAAGAGCCTCTGGGAGGGTTCAGGAGAGACCGAGAGTGACTCTGTGGGCTCCTGTATCTACAGGTGACTGTGTCTGGTCTTTTTTTGGTACCAGGGGTTGAGCTCAGGGGGCCTAACCCCGCAGCCACATCCCCAGCCCCGTCTCACTAAGTTGCTTAGGGCCTTACAACATTGCTGAGGCTGGTTTTGAACTTCTTGTCCTTCAGGAGGCCACCACGCCCAGCCTCGGAGTCACCTCCAGGCTCCTGGAGTAGCTGCCTGAGAGGAGTTTCCCCAAACTGGGTGCAGTGGCCCACACCTGTAATCCCAGCTACTCAGGAGGCTGAGGCAGGAGGATGGCAAGTTTGAGGCCAGCCTTGTCAACTGAGCAAGACCCTGTCTCTAAAGAGCCTATGAAGAAGTTCTGGGGTGCGGCTCAGTGTAGAGCGTTTTCCTAGTGCACAAGGCCCTGGCTTCCATCCAGATAGGCTCACAGTGTGACTTGTAGTGGGACCAGGGACACCGCACACCTGAGATTAAGCAGCTGAGATCAGCCCCGGGGACGGCCCTGTGTGCGGAGCTGGTGCCTAATGAACCCTGGACGGGGGCTGGGGGGCTCAGCAGAGGGCACCTCCCAGGCTGCCTGAGGCCCCGGGTTCCATCCCCGGCACCAAAACAGCCCGAGAGCCCGGGGCACCAGGCTTGGGCGAGTTCCCAGGTTGGCGCCCATTGCGTTGGGAAACTAAGGGCAGTTACGTGACCCCACTGGGAGGGGACACTGGAGGGTCATGCCCTCCCCGATCCCGTCCCCCGCCCCTCCTTCCTTTGCTGGTTTTAATCTGGCCCTTTGGGGGTCTGCACCCTAACCCTGAACTCACCACCTGGTCTGACTCGTGAGTCTTGGCGGATCATGGACCCCGTGGTCGTCTTGGGGACCCCCTGGCACACATGAGTCTCTGTCCCCAGCCCCCCTGCCCTGTCACTGAATGGAGTGTTCTTGCTCATTTTCTTTCTCTCTGGACTGAGGCTGCACAAGGCCATGGGAGACTGGGGAGCGGAGCTGTCAGGGGTGAAGTCCCCCTCTGCTGGCTTCCCGCTGTGTGGCCTTGGGCAAGCAGCATCACCTCTCTGTGCTTCAGGTTTCCCATCTGCAGGATGGGAATGCCCGCCTTCCTCACAGGACCCTCCAGGCGGATGGGCCGGTTTATTAGCTCCTGTCGGCTCTCCCCAGGCTTCACCCACGGTGTGGGTTACCCTGAGTCCCCTGCAGCTGCAGAGCCAGCTCAGGAACAACCCGTGGGAGCCTCCTCCAGGGGGAGGGCGGGTGCAGGAGGCCCAGATGGTGGGAGGAGGGGAGCGGAGGCCGAGGCTGGGAGCCGCTGGGGGATGGGGTGCCGGCCACCCCCGCGGGGGCCACCCACACACTCTGCCAGGGCTCTTTAGGGCTGGCGTGTCCCATGAGGGGAGCTGGTCCCTCTGTGGTCAGGAGGGAGGAGCCGAGGGCGCAGGGTGGGGAGGCCGATCCCACGGTGGAGCCTTCAGGAGGAAGTGTGTGGGCGTGGGGCAGCTGGGAAGGGGGCCTGGGAAGACGCCTCCGGGTGCTGGACGCTGGAGAAGCCCCTGAGGGCGGACAGAGCTGCACACTCCCCCTGCCCCGGGGGAGGGCCAGCCTCCCCCTCCAGCCTCCAGATTCTTCCACAGAAGGCTGGGGGCGGGGCTCGCCCCGAGTTGGTGGGCCGCTCGCTTCCCAGGGAGCAGAAGTATGAAGGGGAGGGCAGGTCACAGGGCCCAGGGGACAGGAGCCAGGAGAAGGGGCCTCACCCTGAGCCTCTGTGGACCCGGCCACTGCCTCCCTATGACCCAGATGCTCAGGGCAAGGTGCTTCCTTCCAGATCCTTCTCCGTCCCTCTGTGTCTCTGTCTCTGTCACATCAGTGACTCAATCCTGAAGGCTCTGCTTTCAAATCTGTCCAGAATCTGTGTTCTCCGTCTCCTGGTCCCCACCCAGCATGTCCCCTTAGATCACTGCAGCCACCCTCACCCTGATCTTAGCTCTGACCTTTGTCCTGACCCCACTGTTTTGTCTGATTGCACCCCTGCTCTGCTCAAGAACCCTCCGTGGCTCCCACTCACTCTGTGCAAAAGCCACAATCCTCCCCAGGCCCCCAATTCCCTGCCCAGTCCACGCCATCACCACCCACCCTCTCCTTTGATCCTCCTGCTGGCTCAGTCCCTCCAACCCTGCGGGATTCCTGCTGCAAGCTCAACCACAGGGTCTTTGCACTGCCCCCTCCCTATTTTATCTTTCTGAACACTTATCACTCGCTGACACCCGGCCGCATTTGAGCTCTTGATCTTGCTTGTTTCCTGTCGGTTGAGGGTGGGGATTTTTATCTGCTTTGTGCCCGGCTGTGTCCCCGGCTCAGAACAGAGTCTGGTACCATAGGCACTTGTTGATTCAATGAGTTGAACGGTGAAGATCCTGTCCTCGGCAGCCGCGGCCGCGACATTTTTATTGCTTTATAGAGGCGTAATTTACATAGCATGCAATTTGCCCATTAGAAGCCCACAGGGAGATGAGTTTTAGTAAATGGCCCGAGTTGTGCAGCCACACGACAATTCAGGGGCTGCGGAGACGAACCGCCCCAAAGTTCCTCATCTGCTCTTCGATGCTGCGCCTGGCTCCGGCCACTTGCTGCTCTACTTTCGGGTCTAGAGCTGACCCTTTCTGGAAGTTTCTATCAGTGGAATCTGGCGGCATGCCACACGCTCTGAGCCCCACCCCGGCCTCTGACTTGTCACTGTGACCCAGGGCTCCACCAAATGGCTAAGGCTGGCCTTGACCGTGTGTCCCCACCTCAGCCTCCGGGCCGCTGGGTGGACAGGTGTCCCCTTGTTGTAGGTTTCTGGGGTTTCCCGGTTAGGGCTGCAGTGACTCTTTGCTTGTTTCTCTTTTTCTTTTTCTCCGGTGCTGGGGATGGAGCCCAGGGCCTCGGGCCTGCTGGGCAGGTGCTGTCCCACTGGGCCGCGGGCCACCTGGGCGGCTGCTTCTTTTTTCTTGTACCTAGGATTGAATTCAGGGGCCCTGGACCCCCAAGCCACCTCCCCAGCCCTGTTTTGTAGTTTACTTAGGGACGAGGTCTCACTGAGTTGATTAAGTTCGCACTAAGTTTCTGAGGCTTTGAACCCGAGATCCTCCTGCCTCAGCCTCCCGAGCTGCTGGGATGACAGGCGTGGGCCACCGTGCCCCTGTTTCTTTTCATCGCCCGGGGGGGGGTTTCCCTTGAGGAGGGGCCACAGTTGTGTGTCCACGCATGAGCTTGCGGATGCTCACTGTCCCCAGCTCTGGGAGATGCTGAACCATGCTGCAGGGGGCATCGGGGACACTTGGTCGCCTTCACGTCTGGATCCCGTTCTGTCTGTGTGTGGAAGGCCCTTTCTGTGGGTGTGCGGCCGACCAGCTGTTTACATTTAACATAACTGCCTATTGTTTTCCAACGCGTCTGTGCCAGGGCGCATCCCCCAGGGATGGCGGATGCTCCCCCACATCCTCACATCCTCACTCACAGGAGATGTTAGTTTTTATAACTTAACTCTTTTTTTCTTTTCTTTTCTTTGTTTCATTTTTTTTCCTTTTCTTTTCTTCTGGTACTGGGGGTTGAACCCAGGGCGCTTTACCACTGAGCAACGTCTCCAGCCTTTTTATTTACTTTTTCTGTATTTTGAGACAGGGTCTCTCTACGTTGCGGAGGCTGGCCTCAAACTTGCGATCCTTCCGCCTCAGCCTCCCAGGTCGCTGGGACCACAGTGTGCCATGCCTGGTTTGCAAGATTCCTTTGTTTTTGTTTTCAGTATATTCTGGATTCAGGTTCCCCTTTCAGACTCAGGATGGGCAAATGTTTTGCCCTGTCCCGTGGCTTATCTTTTCATTTTCCTATGTCCTTTTGGATTCTCCGGGCCTGGAACCTGGGCCTCCCTCGTGTGGGCAGACGCTCCTCCACTGAGCTGTGGAAATTCCAAGGGGGTCGTTGGGTTTCTGCCTGAGCAGGGCCTGGGCCTTCTCCTGCTGTGACTCCCAGGAGGACCAGGGCCTGCCTGGATCGGCCACACCAGGGCCACAAGAGCCTCGGCAAACAGGATGCACCCGCCCTCCCGGCTGCCGTCCAACGAGGCTCCTTATCAGCCTCTCCATCCATCAACATCTCTGACCAAGCCTGGGGCCGCCACCCCACCCGCCCCTTCCACCAGCCGGCTCGCCAGGGGCCGTGACGCCAGCCAGAAGGCCCGGCCCTGAGCCCGCTGAGTGACCAGCGCCCTGCCCCAACAGCCCCCAGCCGCCTGGAGAGGGAAAGGCAGAGTCTCCCCCGCGGCCCTGCCCAGGTGTCCCCCGCTGGGTGGAGCACGGGCCTGGTGCCTGGGCCCCTTCCTGGGTCGTGAGAAAGGCCACAAGCCCAACCCCAGGGAGAGGTAGGGACCTGGGTATAGACAGCGGGGAAGTCCCTGGCGGGGGAGGACAGCTCACCCCAGGCCACTTCCAGCTGTTTATAAACACAAGCTCCGTCTGTAAACACCGCGGCTGCTTTTGTGGGTCTGACAATGTGTCTTCCTGTGAGCTCGGGGTCAGGTCATGTCAAGACCTTCCTCGGCCCAGAACCCTTCTCGGGGCTCACCCCACTCACAGCAGTGTCCTCTCTGTGACCCACGAGGCCCAGCATGACCTGCCCTGTCACCTCCGGCCCTCACCTCCACCTTCTCTCTCTTCCTTGGCTCCAGCCACATGGGCCTCCACACCATTCCTGGAACACACAGGGCCTAGACCAGCCTCAGGGCCTTTGCACCTGCCGGTCCCTCTGCCTGGAACATCTTTCCTCGGATAGTCTCAGCTGTCACCTCCTCAGTGAGGCCCTCCCTGATCCCCCTGTTTAAAATCTTAGCTCTCAGGGTTGGGCACGTAGCTTGGAGGTAGAGCGCCCACCTAGCACACCGAGTCTCGGGGTCTCCAGGGTCTTGCCTGCCTCCCCCCACCCCTCGCCTTGTGTCTCTGTAGCTTTGCTATTCCGGGGTCCACCCAGGGTGTCAGCCTGTCGGGAAAGGGGCTGTTTCTGCCCTGTGTTCTGCCAGAACAGGGCCAGGTACACAGCAGTCGCTCAGTGAGTTTGTGAAATGAACTGCCATTTTCTCTTCCATCCCTCGTCCACCCCCATCACCAGGAGTGGTCACATGGCCCATCCCGGCCTGTGGACAGTCTACCCTTTCTGGTCACAGTGACTGTTTCCTAAGTGACGCGTAATACCAGTCTGTCCAATGACAAGGAGACGCCGGGTTGTTGTCTTATTTTCCTGGAGCTGTTGGGATTTTCTGATTCCTGTCTGCAGTTTCTGGGGCTTGCTGAGGTCACTGGGTCCCCAGGGGAAGGGGCTGGCTGAGATGGAGCTCTGCAGAAGAAAGTTTGGTTGAGCCAGGGCGATCGTTGTGAGCTCCTGGATCCAGCTGTGTCTGAAGCTGACTTACCTAAGACTTTTCCGGTACATAAACGGATACGTTATGATTTTGCCTCAAGTCCTGTGGGTTGGGATTTCCACTTGCAGCTGAAGGTGGCCCTAACCCGTCCTCTCCTCCTCTCCTCTTCCTTCCGATTCCTCCCCTCCGCCCTCTCCCTTTCTGCTCCTTCTCCCCTTCCCTGTCTCCTTTGACCCCACCACGTCCTAGCCCCAACCACCCTCGGCCCTGCCGCACAGCTGACAGGTTGTGACCTCACCTTCCCTCCAGCAGCCTCCGCCCACGCCCCCTCCCGCTGCCCCTCCGCCCTGCGCGCCTGGGCCTCGGCTCAGCGAGTGTGCTTCTCGTCTCCCCCACTAGAGGGCGGTGCGTTCCCCGCAGGCGACCTCCCTCTGGGCCGGCTGCCCACCTGGGTCCCCGGCCCGGCCTCCCCTCCGCCCTCTTCTGCCACCGCCCACCCGGGCCTCTTGCTCGCCCGCGCTGCTCGGGCTCTCTGGCTCCCTGTCCTCAAGTTTTTTCTGACTCCCCCAAGTCCTCCCTGCAGGACTTGGGAGGGTTCAACTCGCCCAGGACTCCGAGGGGCGGCTGTCGCCACCTGGGTTTTTCAGATGAAGACACTGAGCCCCAATCTGCCAGCCAGAAAGTCAACAGGGCCCTCTAGAGGGGGAGGTAACAGAGGGAGGCTGCAGAATCCGCAGAGGATGTGGTTCGGGGGAGGCAGGGAGGTCAGGGGAGGCTCCCCCTGGGAGCTTCTCAGACGCGCAGCCACCAGGGCGCGGTGTTCTGGAAGCGAGAGGACACGGGGAGGGGCCCTATGTTCAGGGCCCAGCAAGGGGGAGGGGAGCTCAAGGAGCCGAGGCTGCCTGACCTGCAGGCCCCAAGATTCACATGGCTACAGCCCATGCGGAAAGTGACGGGAACAACCTGGGGGAGCTCCTGATGAGCGCCCTGTCACCTCAGTGCCACCAGGGTTTCCTCCAGGAGAAGGTTATTGTTTGCGACATCTCATTCTGGGCTCACTCTGGCCCCACTGAACAGATGAGGAAACTGAGGTTCCATCTCCCAGACCTGGAACCATCAGCCCCTGGCCCCCCAGGCCCTGCAGCCCCCCAGGCTGTGCGGGATCCTAGGAGCCCTGGGCCCATCAGTGGGGGAACCCGGGGTCCTTAAGACCATCCTCAGCCACCTCTTCCAGGAAGTCTTCCGGGCTTGCTCTGGCTGGGAACCTCTCCCTGAAGTCCACCCCCGCCTGGGTGGGATCCAGCAAATGTGTTCCCCGTGGGGATCCTGGAGGCTTGGGATCCCTCTGACCCGGCCCAGCCCACCATGCCCCATCGTGCAGGGCGATGAGAAAAAGCACAAGAAAAGAGGGGGGCGAGGAGGGGTTTCTGGAAGGAAAATATTTTGGTTCTCAGGAGGCGAGAAAATTGCCTGATTCCCAACCGATTAGGGGTAATTAACCCTTCGCAAGGCAGTAATTAAGTCTGCTGACTCTGAAGCCATAATTAGAAGTCCCAGAGGCTCCGCCCCCTCCCCACCAGCGGGGCAGCCCCTTCTGCACCAGCGGGGACAGGAGACCGCCATCTGCCCCCCTCTGGGGGCGGAGGCCTGGCCTCTGGCCCCCACCCCAAGGCAGGGACCTGCAGCGCGCAGCAGGGTGCGTGGGACCAAGTTTCCCTGCACATCGCCTGCGGCTGAGAGGTGCACAGGGAGCGTGAGGGCAGAGGACTGGGCAGAGGACTGGGCAGAGGGCTGGGCAGGGAGCTGCGGTGTGGAGCTGGGGACAAGCCTTCAGGGCCCCTTCCTGGGCCAAGAGGCTCTCTAGCAGAGACCCCAGCCGTAATGGGGATGGGGATGCCAAGGACCCAGGCGGACCAGAGGCAGGATGGGGTGGTCCTGGGGCTCAGAGAGGCCAGGGCACCCTATGGTGGGGGTGCTCACCACAGCCACCCAGCTGTCAGAGGTGGTGATCCTGGGGCCTGCAGTGTCCCTTAGTGTCAAGAGGGAAGCCAGGCGTTGGGAGCTGGGTGACACCAGACCCACGGGGTGGGCCAGAGGATGAGATAGAGAACAGGCTGCGCCTGGTGGTTCACACTGTAATCCCAGCAAGCTGGGGAGGCTGAGACAGGAGGATCTCAGGTTCTCAGCCAGCCTCAGCAAAAGCAACTCAGTGAGGCTCTGACTCTGAATAAAATACAAAATAGGGCTGAGGATGTGGCTTAGGGGTGGAGTGCTCCTGGGTTCAATCCCGGGTACCCCCTCTCCCAACAAAAAGATGGAGAACTGGAGCTGAGTGCCAAAGATGGGGCTCCCCTGGGTGTGGGGCTTATTCTCCTCCCCTGGGCTCTTAGGTGGTGGCCCCAGGGGCCGAGAGGGATCACATCAGGTTCCATCCCACCTCTCAGCTCAGCTCAGCTCTGGTCACCCTCATTTCCTTTCCTATCGTCCATGTTCCCTTCTGCCCCAGTGCCTTTGCATCTGCGGTGCCTTCCCCTGGAGAGCCTTCCTCCACTCTTTTAAAAATCCTTTTGTGGTGATGGGGATCTGGGGATCCAATCCAGGCCTCCTGCTTGCAAATCAAACCCCAGTTCCACCACTGAGCTACCTCCTGCCAGCAGGTTGCTTCAGTCCTGGTATACGGAAAAAGTCACCTCCCCACAGTCCCCGCCACATCACCCGGGTCAGCCCCCTCCTATCCCATGGCTCATTCCATCCTGTTTACCTGGCTCCTCCGGGGCACTTGGCCGTCTTCTCCCAGGCTATGATTTTCAGGTAATCAGAAGGTCAGGTTTATCTGTTTTATTTCTTGCGTCTTCTGAATCGAGCAAGCACACAGTAGGCGCGCGATAAATGTCTGTGGCGTGAATAAATGGGCCGGTTCTGGCTGGGGAAAGCGGGATTTGGAGGAGACTTTCCTGGACGTGAGCTGCTTCCCAAACTCCCGGGGGCGGGGCCTGGCGCCCCAAGTGGGAGCAAAGGGGGCGGCGACCCACTTTCCCGGGCGTCGCACGCGCCTCCCGCTGGCGGCCCACAGGTGGCGCTCGTTCCCCGCGCTGCAGCGGCGGGCAGCGAAGGAGGCCGTGCAGGCGGGGGGCCCCGGGTTCAGCCCGCTCGCTGCTGGCCCCTTGCGGGGAGCCGCTGGCCCCATTGGGTGGCGAAGTCCTGGGGCCGTGCTCTGGGGCTCAGCTGCTGGCGGGAGGCTCTTCTTGGTGAAGGCTTTTGATTTCAAGTGGGAGGCTGAGAGGCGTGGGGGGGGGGGACTGCGGACCGCCTTTGTACCCACGCGTGCTCCTGCTGTCCCCCCAAATTAGTCGGGCAGCCCCGAGCCTGGGGAGTGGGGAAAGCGCTTGCCCTGTGCGTGTGGGGCCTTAACCATATGGAGACTGGAGCTGCACACGGTGCCTGGTCCTCAGCGGGTCCCCAGGGCACATCTGTGCCAGAGCGAGTGGCCTAAGCCCGTTTTGCCGGTGGGGAAACTGAGGCTCAGGAAGGCGTGTGGCCGGCCCAGGTTCAGAGCCAGTAAAACGGCGAGGTTGGGTTTGGAGCCTCAATGCCTGTCTGGCTCCAGGATCAGGTTACTTTAAAAAAAAAAATTTTTTTTAAAGCCAGGCATGGTGGCATATGCCTCTAATCCCAGCTACCGGGGAGGCTGAGGCAGGAGGATCGCAAGTTGGTGTCTAGCCTGGGCAACTCCGCTAGACCCTGTCTCAATATAAAATTTAAACGGCTGGGGGTGTAGCTCAGTGTCAGAGAACTTGCCTAGCACGTGCAGGGCTCCGCATTCAATCCCCAAGTCCTGCCAAATCAATCAATCAATTAAATGAGATGCATTTCTTAGTTACCCAGGTGAAACAGCGGTCACTCTGGGGAGCTCAAACCTGCCCTGACATTCCCTTCTCAGCCCCAAGGTGGTGGGAAGGTCGCTCTCTATCCTCCTCCTCTGCCTCCATACACATGTTGCAGGGGCCTCTGGATTTCCCAGTGGTCACTGAGCATAATGTTGTGCTCTCCGAGTCTCAATTTTCCCATCTGAAAAATGGGCTTGATGGACATTGAACCCTCTTCAGGGCGACAGTGAGGCTCCAGGCTCTGTGGGCACAGCCTGGCATACAGGTTGTGCCCAGAATGTGCAGGTCCCCTCAGGTTGTGTAAAACATAATGGTGGGAGACGCCTCGGGCTTGATCCTTCCCAATATTTCTCCAGTACAGGCCCCGGGGACACAGGTCTTGCTGCATGTCTGTGTTTGACTAATGCGACACTCAGTGTCTCCCTGGAGGCTCCGTGGACATGCTCATGGCGTACAACCCTGGGCTTCTAGAGACCAGGCCTTCCTTCTCAGCCTCCACACCCTTGGCATTGAGTTCAGGTTATTCTTCACCAACAGAGACTGTCCTGAGCCTGGGAGGGTACTGCGCGGTGTCCCGGCCTCCGCTGGCTAGATGCCGTACTACCTGTGTCCCCAGAGTTTTTACAAGCAGAAATATCTCTAGCCGTTGCCTAGGGTCCCCTGGGGGCAGAATCGCCCCTGTGGACCCCCTGGGACGCTCACAGCTGGGCCGGGGACGCGTTGGTCTTCACCTCTCTGTGCGAACCTCGAGCCTGAGCCTCGCTTGGCTTCCCAGGAGCAGATCCTGATAGAAGGAGTCCGTGGCTTCTTTGGGAAGGGGAAGGGACGTCCAGCAGGTCATGCTACGGACACCCGGGGTTGGACCCTTCTGCAGGCCCAGGGAGACGGCGACAGCGCCTGCCAGGGAGGGGGCGGGGGTATGGACCATCCACTGCTTCTCTGGCCCCCCTGGGCTCCTGGGGCGTTAATCCGGGCACTTCTGGCTCCTGGCCACGTGCACTCGAGTGCTCAGGGCCCAGATGTGTTCCTGGCGGGGAGGCATGTGCGCGAGGTGCCTCTGCCCTTCTGTGCGGCTGTCCCCGGGGGTCCCTTTGGGCTCCCACCGGCTGTGCGTGCCCGTGTGCGTGTGCCTGTGTGTGTGCCCGTGTGTGTGCCCGTGTGCGTGTGCGCGTCTGTGTTTGTCTGTTAGAGTGTGCTTGCCTTTGTTTTCCCTTCTGCTCCGTCTCCAGGCACGTGGGGGAAACTTGTTTTT